AGAAAAGCCTGGGGAAAATGAAGACTGCTGGCAGGGGGCTGCAGATCGGCTTCCAGCCTGACAAGTGACAGTTTGCTGATCCATTGCAGAGATCTGTGAGGTAAGTATGAGACGTGATGAGTGCACATGCTTAGTGTTGGGATGCATGCTGTAAAGTGCAATGGGGTCCATGGTGGGGGATTTAGAGTGCATGATGTGGAGTACTGCGTATAATAGGTTATTTTCTGTTGAGTGCTGAATGTATTGGGGACATTCTTTAGTGTGCAAGTGCAATGGGGTGTGTGGTTGGTGAATGGTATTGAATGGTAATGGTATTGAAAGGCTTGTGCCTAGCTGTTTAGGTTTTGAGAACCCGAGTATTTTTATGTGTGTCCTACTTGGCAACTTGGATAGATGGGGAAAGGGGACAAGAGTTGGCTATTGATGTAGTGACTAGCCTCAAAATTTGGGTCCCTCAACGTGAGGGACCTGAATGTACTGCAGAAATGAACCCAGGTGCTCTACCATATGCATAAACAGTGTGTGGTTTTGTTTCTCCAGGAAACACACTTTAAGAGCTCTTCTGCTCCTAAAATGCCTACAAGATATTATACTAAGTGGTATATGTGCAGAGTTAGTCGAGAGGTGTGGCTATAGGCCTTCACTCCTCTGTGCTGGTATCTGATGTCCAGAAGCTGGGAGATGCAGAGGGTAGATACCTTTTTGTGAAGTGTAGGTTATGAAAAGCAATTCACGAGGGTAAATATTTACTTACCTAATCATGGGCAGGTGGGGGGGCGATGCTTTCTATTCTTAATCGGTTTAACGACTTTATGGAAGGAATTATAGTGATGGTAGGGGACTTGAATCTAACTATGGACCCCACCATGGATACATCTAAGAGAATGGTCCATGTTCTGTTCTCGCAACTTAATTGATTAAAGCATCACCTTTATGGCTTGCAGTTGATAGATCTATGGCGTGTTGTAAATCCAAAGGTAAGGGACTACCCATGTCACTAACCGACACATTCTTCATATGGCTTCCCGAAAAACGAAATAACACAAATCCGAATTTAAAACGAAACGAAACTAATTTTTTGGCAGTGCACATGTCTATGGCTGTATATATTATTTTTTCACATCTCACTGTGTAATAAGCTGGCAACCTTGGGCTCATATAGGAACACAATTCTGGTCTGACCATTTTCCTATATTTTTTTCTGCTATACTGCCCATTACATTGAAACCTTGTCCAACATGGAGATGAAATGAAACTCTCCTGCAAGATCCAACTAAAAAGGAAATTGTTATCCAAACCATTTAAAACTTTATAGTGGGTCATGAACAGAACACTACGGTGCACCCAACTCAATGGGAGGTGCTGAAGTGTGTTATTCGGGAAACTGTAATCTCTCATGGGGTGCCTCTGAAAAGAGAGAAGGCCCTAGCTATTACAACCCTAATATCAGAAGTTCAATCGGCTGGAATGTCAGCATAAAGATACAGAAGATGTCTTTCAGACATTTTTGCAAAAGAGAATAGAATTACATCAAAAGCTAGATTTGTCATATCAACATTATAAAGATTGCTCTCCATGATCAATGTATGAATTTGGTAAACAGATCTGTATAATTTAAGTAATTTGAAGAGCAATAGGGGAGAAAAGGAGGAATATGCTTCTCGAGTAGCATATATAAAGCAGATGGCCCTACCCGTACTGGGACCAGGTGTAACAGAATCACTGGGTATACCATTTTCACATGAGGAAATTGTAAAGGTAATACGTTCAATGCCGTTTGGGAAGAGTCCAGACCCAGACGGGTTCACAGGGGTGTTTTGTAAGCATTTTAAAGAGGAATTGGCACCGATTCTGCGTACCACTTTTAATGTAATTTCTGGTACCTGTGGTTTTTCACAACAGAGTCAAGAAGCATATATTACTCTTATACCTAAGGGCCAGAAAGACCCCCACGCAATGTGCAAGCTACAGGCCTATCCCTTTGATAAACATCGATCTTAAAATTTATGGCAAAGTTTTGGTTTCCTGTTGACAACCATATATTGAGTCCTTGATTCATCCACAACCAGTAGGGTTTGTCCCTAGACATGAGATCAGGGACAACACTATCAAAATTATGCCTCTTTTTTACCATTTACGGAGTCGGGGGCTCTCTCTGTGTTTATTGTCATTGGACATAGAAAAGGCCTTCGATAGACTGGACTGGGAGTTTATGATAGATAGAAATACTGGCCTCTTTTGTACAAAAAATACTAGCTTTATACTCGTCTCCAATGGCACGTGTTCAGCTAAAAGGTGTGTTGTCAGATCCAATAAAAATCTCTAATGGGACCCGCCAAGGATGCCCGCTCTCTCTTTTTATTTACATTTTAGCAATGGAACAACTAGCTATTTCCCTTAGGTCTAATATGGATGTTAGAGGGGTAAGTATTGAGGATAGGTCCTATAAACTAACAGGGTTATTCACAAAAGGGTGAAGAGTTTGGAGAAGGCAGGAGAAGTGAACAATCCAGAACAACATAGCTGAACTGGAAAGTGTGCTGATTTGGAGAATGTTTCCAAATCAGCTATTGTGGCCTAGATTGTTCACTACTCCTGCCTTCTCCAACCTCTTCACCCTTTTGTGAATAACCCTGTAAGTCTCTTTGCAGAATACTTATTGACGTATGTTTCCAACCCTAGAGTAGGAACTAAATAAATTTGGCCGATTGAGTAATTATCAAATAAATGCCGGTAAATCACAGTCATGTCTCTATGCCTCATGGAGAACATAATAAATAATACAATTTCAAAGTTTACCCTTTTGCTGGACACCAGGTGCCCTTAAGTATTTGGGTGTGTATATACCCGCAGGCTTAAAGAATGTGTATGGCCTTAATTACCTACCACTTTTAGAATCGACACAAAGATGTCCTGAAGCCTGGAGGGTTAAAAAACATTCTTGGATAGGGAAGATGGCATTATTTAAAATGGATGTTTTCCCCCAATTTCTTAATTTCTTTATGTATTACACACAGTACAAACCAGGGTCCCTTGTCAATTCTTTCGTAGGTTACGGACACTCCTTCTCCAATACATATGAGGGTCTTTAGTAGAACAAAAGTTAGATGGGAGAATGGAGCACCCGCAAATGGAGTTATGTTATAAGGCGACAGTTTTCCCCACCCAGACCAAGCTCTAAAAAAAAAAAAAATTGAACAATCTAGCGTACCATTGCCGCTGAATTCTTTACCTTGGATTAGGCCCTCAAAGCTGCCTTAAAATTGTAATGTGTCCCCGTTAGTTTCAGCTAGATTGAAAGTGTGGGATGTAATGGTCATAAAACACCAGGTATCCTCCTATGTTGGCCCACTAACACCTATCCTTGGCAACTTGAATTACCGCAAGCCATTGAGAGCAGAAGGTTCTTGATAGGTAAGCCATAAAGCCCTCACCCATAATAGAGGCTGTTAATGCCTCTGAAGTGCTTCCTTTAGTGGATTTGCTCTCTTTGGGGGCCTTGAGTGTTGGTAAGTGGTATCAGTACCTGCAACTTAAACATTTTTATTTATATCTCCGTTCACACGGTGGAGTATTTAGGAATTTAACATTACTTGAAGATGTCTGTCTAAACAAGGCAGGGAGTAAGCATGTTGTTTCAAGAGTGTATCACATTTTCCTAATGCATGTATTCCCGGCATGAAATAAAGCTTTTTATCTGACTTTAAAGTCTAGTTTAGCAGCATAAACGCAGGTAAGAAATTTTAGGATATTAACACTATGGTATACTGTTGATATCCAACAGTCTTACAGAGAATAAACCCCTCAGTTACAAAGAAGTCTTGGAGATGGGGAGTGGGGGAGGGGACAATGTTACACATCTGGTGGTCTTGTCAGTTGTTATGGATGTAATGGAGCTCTATTTTTGAGATAAGTGACATTTGACGGGAGTATTGTTACAGGAGACCCAAGGAAGTAGCAATACTATTGATGCTTTTGGGATCACACACAAAAAGTAAGAGAGGACTTCTTTATTTTCTGTTGTCTGTTTCTGTTGTGGGCAGCCAGGGCAATAATTTCTAGGCATTGGAAGTCAACAAGCATTCCCCAGATTCAGGAGTGGGTATGTGAACTTAATAACATATTGCTTATGGAGGAGTTCGCAATAGGTATTCTATGTTTGAGGGTATGTGGCGTGCTTGGGTTTACTTTTATACCTCCTCGAGAATTCAGACATATCTGTAGTAAAAATGTAGGACCAATGATGCAAAGTTGATGACCCAATATCCACGTCGTTTTTTTCTCTTTGTATTTTGTGATTGTGGGAGAGTGTGTGAGGGCCTGCAGGCGATAGGTGAGGGAAGAAGGGGAATGGGAGAGTGTGAAGTAGGGGAGATAGAGACAAAAGATTGTTAAACCTGATTTGATAATTAAGAGACAGGAAAGTGGATATGAAAGAAAATGATGCATATTTAAGGTGATATGTAAGGAAGGAAGGAAGAAAGGAGTAGTTTAAAGAGGGATATACATTGTATATATTGTATTGAGTGGTTTCATGATGTAAAAATGTACTGGAAAAGTTTAATGAAATATATTCTAAAAAAGATTGTTTCAGAGCATTACCATGTGTCATATCTTTACAGAATCAAAATATACATATAAATACAAGAACAATATACAGTAAATAATACACCTGAATACACATAATTAGAGTAAGACACATAAGCATTGTTTGTAATATGTGTTTCTTCAATCATATAACATTCACAGCTTGTAGGCAAATTGTGGCACTTTGATTTGACCTGAAAGTAACATACTGTACTAAGCATTTACAGGTGTCAGAAAACTGGGTACAGGTCCCAATAGGTAGATGATGCACAGAATTTACATATGTTGTCAAATATGAATCATGTCACAGTGTAAACATAAACTATGATTATTTATTAAAAGCTCTTTAATATTTACATTATACCTTTTCCACAACAACAATAATGATTTGTTGGACATTACAGTGCCTTAGCAGTTATTGCAATCTGAAAAAGTGTGTTTGATTGGACAAGTCAAGTTCCCGATGATATAAAATGCATTTCTGTGTTAACAACCGCTCCAGTGATGCACTCAACTTTTGGCTTGAATATGAATGGAAAGGCTTTCCTAAACAACTTTCTGAAGTTTGCTCCCATGAATGCATACACAATGGGATTGACAGATGAGTTAGTGTAACACATGCAATGAGCAAAAATCTTCAGTTTGTAGGTTTCATAACTTTGCTGGAAATTAGAATCAAATGCTTGAAACAAAATGAAAAGCTGGATTGGCCCCCAACAGATAGTGAACAGCAGAACTATCACCACCACCATTTTGGATATCTTTGCTCGCACTGCCTCAGATCTCTCCGCCAAAAGCTGAACCTTAAGAAAGCATAACACATAATCAGTTATTTATAATATTTCAGTGAAAATTATATTGCTCTATAGATTTTCAGCTTATAGCATAATATGGTTTTAATGCCTTTACCGCTTTAAGGGGATAGAATAACTGTGCATCGCTAAAAATGACTCTGCTGGGCCCTCTTTTTACTGCACATGTGTGCATGGGCCCTATTCATTTCTATAGGTGAGCCATACTTACAGTGGCATTCATCAGTCCAGCACAGGATGGCTTACCCATGGAAATGAATGGGGAAAGATTGCTTAAATGTGGTGGAAGGTAAGTATTTGACCAGGAGGACTACACTCAGGGGGTAGTAGGGAGTAACCAAAGAACAAAACAAGTGTACTAAAGGTTCTGTTGTACTTTCAAGCACAATTATCGGCTACATGTAAGTCAGTCAGTGAGCTGCAAATCCGAATCTAGGATTTACTGAACTGAACTACATGCAAAAGACTGGTCCAATTAATTTACCTTTAACAGGGAAGAAACAACAATTTCTATTGTTCTAATGTCAATGCTTGAAATAGTGGTAGTCTTCTATAAGCATTACCACATAGGAATACAAAAAGACATGGATTAGTGGGAAGGGGTGGGGTTTAGCACACAGAAGACACTGAATATTTATGAAGTGTGAGGCTATATGTTATGTACTTAGAGCATTACTCCGCTACAGCATCTCTTGGAAGTATACAGCAATGGTCACATATTTAAAAAAAAAAACTTGTCATTATCATAAGATAAAACGTGTAGGTTGTTATTGCTGCCCTCCTTCTGAAAACACTACTTCCCTGGCTTTTATATTGATCTTCTCTAATAAACCTACCTGGCCACATTCCAGGTACAACATCCAGCGCCGCCCACTCCAGCGGTGTCACGTTGCTCCTCTTCTTTCAGCACTGATACTGTTTTTTCGGCATCAAGTACGAGTACTGATATTTATATTATGGTACTTGCCGATCCATACCGATACTGGTACTTCCGCTAGCATGGAGCCGTCTTCCCGGGCAATCAAGAAGCTGGGCAGCGGGTAATGACACGTCGCCTGGTTTTCTGATTGCCCGGGAAGCTGGCTCCATGCTGTTTGGCCCTGGCTCGATGGTGATTGGTCGCAAAGCCGGCTTCCCAGCCAATCAGCATGGAGACGGCCAAACAGCATGGAGCCGACTTCCTGGCCAATCAGGAAGCCGAGAGGCGGTTAATTACCCACCGCTCTACTTCCTAATTGGCAATACTGTTTGACCGGCTTGATGATGATTGGCCGGGAAACAGGCTTCCCAGCCAATCAGCATCGAGATGGCCAAACAAGCATGTTGCCCACTTCCTGGCCAAATATCATCAAGCAGGACCAAACAGCATGGAGCCGGCTTCCCGGCCAATCAGGAAGCTGGGCGGCTAGTCATTATTCGCTACATCAAACACACTAATGTTGCTTTCTGCAGTTTTTTTCTTCAAAATTTTGCCTGCCAGCTCATGCACAGTGTATCCTACATTCAAGGCATTCCTCTGTGATAACTGTCACAGTTGCCAGTTTGTTTATATCAGCTCTCAGCTGAACGTTCAAGCCCTCAAATGGCAGGTGGTCGCATCAGCATCATCATCTTTGGTGGATAGGGGAGTTTAGTTCTGCTTTAAGTGACTACTGTGTACTACTCTGCATTACAAAATCAAATATACAAAATATGAACTTGCCCTTTAAAGATATAACAAAGCACATGAGAAAACCAGACAAGTATACCATCTAAAGTATGAAATAAGTTATGTGTAATGAATTGCAAGTAATGTTGCATTGATTGACCTTTGTCTGTTGCTTTCTAGCTTACCTGGTAGTTGTTATCAATGGGCTCTACAACAGGCCTGCTCATTCTCTTCAGCATGAAAGCATAGCATACACAAATCGTCAGCAGTGGTAATAGATACACTGCAAGAAAAGTGTACAGTATGAAAGCCTTCTGATGGATGACTGTGGGGAATGCTTCTATGCAGTATGTCTGTGGTCCATACCAGTAACCAGTACTCAGTTTCTGGTACATTGCAAAAGGAATGGATAATGCAAAGGAGCCTGAAAAAAATAACACATTTGGACTTTATGTACAGCTGTCATGCAATTAAAAGCTACCAAGTATATTTTTAAAAGAACGTGTGGTTAGTTAGGAACATCTTTATGTAATTACTTCCTGCCAGGCCTGCCAATTGTGTTCTGTGTTCACCGTGGTAGTTATGCTGCTGCCTGGGTACTTAAAAGCTGAACTGGGCGTCAATATATCCTACTGTAGCAAGGGTTTATTACTCAGGATTCCAAATAAAGTCTTGACATGTCTCATATTATCTATTTAGTGCACACAGACAGTGGAACCTTTGTACCAAATGCAGAATATATTCTTTAAGGTTGTACATGGATCATGTTTCACTGCTGACTTCATGCATATTTCACTGAGCTCACAGTCAGACCCAGTCTCATAAATGACAACTATAACTCCTGCCATTTTTTTTTTATCTCTCTGATTTACAATTTTCCCCAAGAGTGATGGAAGGATAGGTACAATGGCAACTGGCATTTACCAGAAGTGCTGATAATCTAGGGAATTGTTTAGGCTCATGGGACCACTTAGGTTTGCTGAGCTTTTAGTTTTGCTGTTAACAAACCCGAGCCACTGCATGCAATTTATGTAGATGGGTGTGCAGCGCTCACTATGAGGAGTTCCTTTTCCTTTTTGTTTTTTCGCTAAATTATTGATCCATATGATGCTGATGAGACGGCCGTGGGACTACTAATTGGCTTTTGGTCTCTCTTTGCCTGCGAACACCGTGGGTCTGGTGACTGCGCATCCCAGAGGGGAGTTTTGGCGTGGACATTTGATGTGGGAGAAAGATTGAACTTGTTTGTGAAGCTTATTTTCATCATCAACACAGCATCTATACCTGAACTTTATAATTACTTTTGAATTCACATGTTGATTTATCACTCCTACTGATATTTTTGAGCTAATTTGTTGTTAACCACTTTTATTAATTCTTGTATTTGTTACACGTGTGATTACAACATCATTTTTATTAAGGTATAGTTAATTTAATTCATCTTAATGCACTTTTGCACAAAGTGAAATTCATATTATATATTCATATTTTTGTTCACCAGTTACCACTTTAGTATACCTTTATGATTGCAAACACTTGTTCAGAATTTGATCACATGTTGTTTTGCTAAACACTTATTTTATTCACTTATTGGTGACCCCGAGCGCTGCACACCCATCTACATACGTTTTGACCCCAGGGTCCTGAGCGCAGCAGCTTTTATATATTTATATAATATTTTACATTATTTAATTTTCCTTTTAAATTATACTTATTCCATAAGCGCGGATTATATATATTTCATCACTGCATGCAATTTAGCTGGCAGTCACTAGTGTAGTGGATCAGTGAAGTTACTGATAAACACTATAAGTTAGCTAGGACCTGAGAGAGCATCCAGTAACTTCCATTACATAAGCAGGGCTACTTTATTCATTATGCAGTTGCCCCAGCTCTTCTAGTGCAAGGGGTCCACCACAGGCTACAGTCCTGTATCAGGACTTGGACAGGAATCAAATGGATGGAATAAGGTTTTAGGAAGTGGTTTTAACAATGCTTTCACCGGATTTGGTATGTGGCTGGACAGTGTTCTTTTGAGCAAATAGTGCAGTAGAGTAGTAAAAGTTGCCATAAAACATCAATCTATTTTTTTAGGCAGATGTTAAAAACACCACAGTTGCTTTTACCTTCGACCACCAAATTCTGTAACCAAGAACAGCAATGCTTTTCATGTCTAAATAAAGTTTCATAGGAGCTATTATCTATGGGATATTCTGCTTACTTTACTTTACACACAGAGAATTTGCACTTAGTCAGCTAGTGATAAAGGAGGGGTATGTTCATGAAAGGAGAGGAATAGTCACTTAATCAATAATGTCGTGTCTTGCATGTAGACATGTCACTCAAATCAGTGTACAGCCTGTACATGATGATCTGTAGCAATAAAAAGGCATTCAGAAAATCCCCTTGGGAGAAAGGGTCAGTAACTTTCTGGAGTGTTCCAAAGTCTTTTTCTATGTGTGTCATTTTGTCTAGGTATGTCTGTTTGTTGTCTCATTAGCACTTATGTGTCTAAATAAAAATACTGACATTTTTTTTTTATTTTAGTTATGGTTTCTATGTATTTTGCATGCTGGGATGCTGAAAAATGCAAAATGCATTTTCTGAAAATCGGAGGGAAAAGCAGAAGGCTACATTTTGATCAATTATAATACATAAATACCTATAGATGTACACTCTACCATTTGCTACAGTGGTATAGACCTTTACTTGCTAGTTTGCGTGATTTGATTTTAAAACAAAGGCAAACTGGAAAAGTAGGCCCTTACAGCTGGGACTTCTGCAAGGGGCAGTGGGGAAAAAAGCAAAGCAGAGTAATCTATAGCAAACAATCAATAATATTTTTGGACTACTTTTTACCACAGTAAAGTTAATTGATCATAATTACACTTTGCAGTGCTATGCTAATGAAGCCAACAATAGGCATTTGATTTAGGGCTTTGGGTGGTTCACCCTGGGCTTGTTACCATGCATGAAAGAAAATACATATTCGGTGTAACCTCCATTTAACCATTCATGTCAATTGAATGAAACCATTAACGTGAGGCAAAACAACAAGACAAAATGCAACACATATATCATATTAAGATATACTAGATTCAGATAGTCAGTACATAATGTACATATATATCATTGTAACAAAGAGATAAGAAGTTATCCATTTACTATATACATCAAATCTTGTGGGTAATTTAACATTTTCTTTTATACCACTGTTCTTATTACTGCAGGATTCAATATCAGACCTCACCATTTTATAATGGTATATTTACCTATATTGCCTCTCTGGCTCTTTCTCCCTTGTCGTGGAGCCCTCATTTGTTATTCTCTTCCGTGACATTTTACTTTCCCTCATACTTTATGCCTGCTTTACTTCATTAATCTTGTCACTAACAAGTCATGTACGGTGTTGTTTTTGCTGTATCTCTGTTTATGTTTAATAAACTTTGATTCAGCCATAATTTTTTTCATATTAGTAAAACTAAATCTATATAACTTTTTAATGCAGAGGAAAAAACTTGAAACCATATCGTGACATTTTTTTAAATTTCCCTTGCTGTGAGCACATTTGTTATTAAATTGTTGTCTTGTTGCTTTGTTGTTACTGTGTTCTATGAAAAAAAATGTTAAATGGACTTAGCCATGTTGGATGGCATAACTGGCAATGCAATTTGTTTCCACTGAAATGGTGGTTAATGACAGTTATAATTATAGATCAAGTTGTACAATTCCACCCCTGTCACGCACACTCAACTTACCACAGATGTATCAAGATAATTGGAGAAAAATTATATATCTTAGAAAGCCCACCATATGAAGCAGAGAATAAGATATAATTATACAAGGTCGCCTCTCCTGCTTCAATTAGCAACATAATACAGAGAGAGAAAGCAGCCAAATTAGAAACCTCAGGGGGCTGATGAAGTAAAGCACATCAACAAGAACAAGGATAAACTAGTATGGTGCACTTGCATCGCTGGATGTTCAATGTGGTGCAGTCCTGATATACTATGGAATATGTGGTTACAAGTTTTTTGCTTAAAATTTTAAATTAAAAATAAAATGGCCAGCATGCTAAGGAATCAAATAGGCATGCATGTAAAAAAAATAACCATATGCTATGCTGTAATAGGAAAAAGGCAGCATCTTTACAGTTATTTACAATGCAATCTCTATTCAAAGTAGCAGCATATGAAATATTGTACACAAAGATAAGGGAATGCATTGTATAATACCCCATCCCCTGTGCATGTGTTTTAATTTTATCCAGTAGCCTGAACAGAGTTGTCAACACTGAGCTCCATTGTTCCTTCCTGACTGGTTTTATTAATGTAGCTAAGTTAATATGGGCGCTGGATGCAAAAGTCCATCCAGTGCCTATAGCATCATTCAAATAATAAGTGGTGTTCTTATTTTAAAGATGTGAGTAAAGGTCCACTTTAATATTCAAAACTGCTCACAAATGTTTCTATCATTTTTTTTACATTGTTATTCAAGACCAATAAATATGCTCACATTTAATATGCAGCACTATATTGACATTCAAAATGTACAATTTATAAAAAACATAACATTTAAAAAAATGCATCAAATACATGTTCGCACATTACTCATGGTATACTTTTTACCTATCCAAATGCCCAGGCTAATAGCCATGGCTAAGCGAGGCGTGCGATGTCGTAGTGACTGCAGTGGATATACTGTCACATAGCAACGGTCCACGCTCATTGCTGTAAGAGTTATACAGGTTGCTTGTGCCGTCACCTTGAAGATAAAATAAATATTATGTTGCATAAATACACCTTGCTACTTGCCCGGCTTCAGCAACACTTGGTTGCTATGGATAAATGCACTTAAAATTAGCACTCTTTGTTGGTTAAGGGTGAACGTTGCAAACATACAAACTTAGCTATGGTGAAAAAACACCTTTCAAGTTCAACTGTGTGTATTAATTTAATAAAAGCATCACTGCTTACTAAAAATATTCCACTTTTAGGAGACTACACATGCTTAAAATAAAATTTTACTTTTACTGCACTAATCTTTTTCAGGCACCTCTACCCCATCAGTTCTGTAACCTTCTATGCTCTCCTAAAATGCAGAAGTGTTCTCACATATGTGAGAACACTACAAATGAAATGAAAAACAGGTATTCAATGAGTTTTAATCTGCATCACTAGCAAATGGATACATAGGTGAAAGGTAGTGTTATAATCATCAAACACTAATAGCCATTTTCCATCCATAATATAAGTAAAGCAAATAAGAATGCCTGAAAAAGAAATATTAATAAAACATAGCCCATAAAACAGCAATCAAAGAAAAAGATACAAATCATAATCTACAAATCTAACCTTCAGTTGGATAATATCCAGTCTATTTCCACTTCATCTTGTTTCAGTTTAAATTCCAGATTACCACTTAATTTCAGTTTAGGCATACTATGTTAAACTGGGAAACCATATGACCATGATCAATAGTGTTTAGCAACTGGTCAGAATGGCTTTTTGATGGTAATACTTAAGATCATACAGAAAATAAAATGTTTTGCTCAATGACCATTATTTTCTGCAATTACATGGTGCAGCTATGAGACGCAATGTTGCCCCTCATATGCAATGAGAGGGATATAATCCAACTCCAGGTAAACAGGTTCAAGTATTCATAGGGATTTCTGGCTATTGCCTCATTTTGCCTCACAGGCTGCTTCCATGACCAACTTGACAAAAGGGAAGGCGTCTGTCATATTGAAGTGCCCCTGCCGAAGCAGAAGCAACCTTTGAGTCTTTAATAAAGTCTTTGTGTGGTCAGCCAATGCTGTGCTCTCCTGACTTCTCTAGGGACTTTGTAGTACAGACTGATGTTTCGGATGTTTCATTGGGAGCTGTGTTGTCTCAGGTTTGGAATGGGGAAGAACACACCATTGTTAACCTCAGTAGAAAATTAAAGTCTCACAAGTTAAATTATGCCACCATTGAAAATGAGTGTTTAGACGTGACATTGGCTCTAGATTTTCTTAGGTATTATCTGTTAGACACTTTGATCCAAGCTGTTAAGATGGTGTTAAGATGGGAAATGCAGATGCCTTGTCCTGGGTTCACACGTGTCTGGTGATCTATGTTCCAACCCCAAGGTTGAAATAGGAACTGGAGTATATGACAGCAGGCCCATAGAAACTTCTGGTTGTACCCAGGATGGTAAGTATGTATGTCCCAGATTTCAGCAGGCAGTAAGTGAGGGAGCTGAGGTTGTTTGAGCTGGCTGAGCTAGGCAACAAGCCCAGCTGAAGCAGGAAGTTTTGGGCTATAAATAAACTCCCAGTCTGTTCAGGGATTTTTCTTCACCCTTTGAAGGGAATTTTTCAAAACTGGAGCAGACAAAATCTGGAGCAGTACCATGTACGATTACATGTGGACTGTCGCTTACAGATGCGGCCGCCCTGTTGTTTACTTGAATGGGTACAGTGGCCACATCTGAACTGGACACTGGCATTCCTGCCAAATCCCATTCCTGCCATGTGAATGGGGCCTTAGCCAGGGATTCTGTATGTTTGTAAGTCATCAGGTGGCAAGACTTTATTTTCTTGTTTTTCTCCATCACATAGTCTTTGTAAATAATTTGCATGTGTGTTTTACCGAGAACTGTTGACTGCTGTGCCTATTTTAAGTACTGTGAACTCTAACTCCTCTCTCCCCCTCCTCTATAAACCAGATTTTTTTACTTTCTTTCTTTCTCTCTCTTTAACAATCCAGTCTCACACACACTCACACTCTCCTTAGTCCAAACGCTACCATTTCCAATTTTCCACTATAAGACCAATGCTCTTTAAGACAACTCACCTTTTACCATGGCCACCAATCAATGTGGTACATTTTGTGTGGGACACTGTCTTTAGCCAATAGTAAATTGCCTGTCCCTACTATGAAAGAGCCAGTTGGTTGTCTTTGTCCCAACTTTGGGTGAACTTTAGTGACCAGTTTACTCAACAGGAAATGCCACTGCTACAACAATCCACAAACCGCATTTCCTAATCATTTGCAAGTCAAGCACCTGGTTCTCTGCATTATTAAGTGCCCACATACAATAAAGCTGAGCAACACAAGTACCTTAATTATTGCAGTTCAGCTTGGTATTTCCAGTTAGAAATCTGGATCAAACTTATACAAAAACTTTAGATTTAGAGTAATGGAGCATGTCATTTAGACAACCAGCATTTTCAGAAGGAGAGCTCAACAGAGGAAACCTCCATGATTTGCTTATGATGTAGCTTACACAGGGATACTGTATGTATGCCAGGGACGTATCAACCGCAAGACAAACAAGGCATTTGCCTTGGGTGGCACTTTCCAGGGGGGTGGGAATGCTCCCCCCAAATCGGTGTGGCGAGCCTGGCCGTACAGAATCAGGCAGGCATGGCTGCCTAATCAGACAAATTAGAGCCGCCACCTGCTCTCCACACACCATTTCAGGCCGGCACCTGCCTGATCAGCATAGCCCCTGCCCGCAGAGCAATGGAGAGATCCACATGCCGCCCTGGTGAGATCGGCACGCAGCCTGGCGAGATCTGTATTTAGCTCTGGTGACATGTATTTAGCTCTGGTAACATGTATTTAGATCTGGTAACATGTATTCAGTTCTGGGGACATGTATATTCAGCTCTGGTGATGTGTATTCAGCTTTGGTGACATATATTTAGCTCTGGTGACATGTATTTAGCTCTGGTGACATGTATTGAGCTCTGGTGACATCTATTCAGCTCTGGTGACATGTGTATTCAGCTCTGGTGACATGTGTATTCAGCTCTGGTGACATGTGTATTCAGCTCTGGTGACATCTGTATTTAGCCCTGGTGAGAAACTGCCCTAAAATCATTAGTCCAGGGCTGAACTACTGCTGGTGCAGCTGGTGTGGCTGCAACAGGGCCTGGGCCTAGGGGGGGCCAGTAGACCCAGGCACGAGTACAAGATAGTGTAGCAAGAGATGATGGGGGCACCAGGCGCCCGGCAATGAGGGGAGAGCAGGGATGGAGCCGGGAGGTGAAAATACATCTGCTGCAGAGCAGCCTGCAGGCACACTATGGGGCAGCACTGGGGCCTCAGCCGGGAGGACCCAGCGAGCAGCCACCTGATTACAGAGCCCACCATCTCTCCCTGCTGTATGTGTTTCCACCGTGGGGACAGTCAAGCGATGTAACTGCTTTCATCTATATGCCTTAAGCTCAACTGTGTTCTGTGACATTGTTTGTAGCCCTCTATAACTGATTGTTCGGCATTTCTGTATAAAATATTGCTGGAAGTTGTAGTCCTCTATAGCTGGTGGCATTCTGCATTGCAGCTGTGCAGAATGGCATTGGCCATAGAGGACTACAAGTCCCAGCAATACTTTATATAGCAATGCAGAATTGCAAACGCTGTATATAATATTGCTGGGAGTTGTAGTCCTCCCTAGTCAAAGCCATTCTACATTGCCGTATAAAGTATTGCTGGGAGTTGTTGTCCTCTATAGCTAAAATCATTCTGAATTGCCGTATAAAATATTGCTGGAAGTTGTAGTCCTCTGTAGCCAAAGCCATTGTGCATTGCCGTATAAAGCATGCTGGGAGTTGTAGTCCTCTTTAGCTAAAGCCATTCTTTATTGATGTATACAATATTGTTTGAAGTTGTAGTCCTCCATAGCCGAAGCCATTCTGCATTGTCGTTTAAAATATTGCTGGGAGTTGTAGTCCTCTATAGCCGATGTCATTCTGCATTGCTGTTTACCTAGGATTTGTAGTTCTATATAGCCAAAGCCATTCTTCATTGCCGTATGAAGTATTGCTGGGAGTTGTATCCTCTATAACAGCGGTCCACAACCTTTTTGGAACCAGGGATTGGTTTAGCTGAAAATGTTTTTTCCCCGGAGTGGTGGTAGTGTGGGGGGGTTGTTAAGGTTGTGGGTTGTGAGGAGAGAGAGGGTGGGTGGTTTCAGAATGTTTCAAGCGCATTTATTGTGCACTTTATTTCTATTATTATTACATTGTATTATTCTATAAAAACAACTATAATACAAGTCACCATATCACCATATTGCAGAATCAGTAGGAGCCCTGAGCTTGATTTTCTGCTCTCAAGTGGCCAGTGCGGGCTCTCAGGTGGTAAGTGGGGCTCTTAGGTGGCCAGTGCAGGCTTTCAGGGGGACAGTGCGGGATTTAAGGTGGTCAGTGGGGCTCTCAAGTTGCCAGTATGGGCATTGCAAGAGCCGGGCCGGGGGGGCCCAAAAGAAATCTTGCACCAGAGCCCTTTGTTCCTTAGGTCCACCACTGCATTAGACTGTATTGCTTTGACACATGTTCCTTTAAGAAAAAATATTGGTAATTGGTATCAGCAAGTACCTGAGGAAAAGTACTTGGTCTTGAAAAAGTGGTATCGGGACATCCCTACTTCCTGCATAACCTTTTATGTAACTGTTGGGGAACCAGCGAAGGGGAATACTATAGAGTGACACATTAGTGATAGCTCTGAGTTGTTGGGGCTGCTGGCTAGTGATGAGCCGAACACCCCCCTGTTCGGTTCAAATTCGAACTTTAGAACATGGAAAAAGTTTGAATTCGAACTCGAACTTTGAAAATCAATTGACCCCATTTTGAAGGCTTATTTGCAGGTTAATGGCCATAAAAAGTATATATGGATCCGGGTACTGCCCTGGGGGACAGGAATGAATGGGGGGGGCGGGGGAAACACTTTTTAAAGCAGCAGTAATTTTGCCATCACTTAAAGTGAAACAAAAAAAAAAAAAAATTCCTTTAAATTCCTTTACTCGGCCCTGATTGGGCAAAGTCTTGCACCCCTACCCATTCACTAAAGTGTTAAATAAAATTGTATAAAAGAGGCCAGACTTTTGAAAAAGTCAATCACCCCTCCCTCCGATCCTCCAGTGCTGACTGGAGGAACAAATGGGGGAGGGGACGGGCACAGCTGGCTCTGCCTCTAGATAGGCAGAGACAGCTGTCACTCACGCAGCTGGGTGGATCCAGACAGGATTGTTGGTTGAAATTGGGAGGGGAACAGTAACGCACAACTCATATGAAGCAATTATAACAACACACAAAAAACATTTAAAAAGTCAATTGTTAAAACATCACCACACTTTGAAAAGATAATTTACATCAGACCAACCACTTTCATAAGTCTATCTAAAACAAAAACATTAAAAAGGCTCATTTCTCTTTAATATGTTTCTATTTTTCTTTGTTGCTTTATTTCTCTTTGACTTCTTCAATGCTGCCTTCTGCACTAGCACCACAAGCAAAAAAATAACATACAAATATAAACAACTAAAAGTATGCAGATTATGCAGTTTATGACAGACCATACATGCTTAAAAATTATAATATGGACCTGGGTTGTAAATATCATTTAGATAGTTACCCAGGAAAAGTGAAATATATTAGATTCAGTAATCTTATCACATACCTGTTGTAGATAGTTTACTCCTCTGCACATGAAATCGCCAAACACCCAGCTGGGCAGTGGGTAAAGAGTGGCAGTAAAAGGCACACAACAAACCAGGAAGATGATGTCCGTCATGGCTAGGTTGGCTGTGAACACAAAAAAAGTATAAAATATAAAAAATCAGAACCAGTTTATTACTCTGTATTAGTAATTCTATTTGTTTTGTTTAATATACAGGTGAAACTTGAATAATTAGAATATCGTTTGAAATAAATGAACTTTTGCACGATATTCTAATTATTTGAGTTTCACCTGTATACCTACAAAACACTGCATGTTGTGCCCTGTGTGCTCTTGGTATGTTACCTTGGTCCACCCCCCTTTTTGCTTCTAGTTAGTACAGTCCCTAGCTAGACACTACCTTCTCTCGTATCCTGTTTAATGTAGTTTACCTTTCACCACAGAGCTGGGGCCTAAGAAACTCATTGTCTTCTTACACTTAAATAGACTGGAAAAACATCCATTGTTCTCCACATATCTGAAGTAAAACTATGTTCGATTTAAAGCAGAACTCTGGGCAAAATGATTCTTAACCCTTGCAGTGGGGTTAAGTGCTTGTTTTTGTCTAGGTTCAAAAATAACAAAGCTATACTCACCCGATCCTTGGAGCCAGCTTGCTCTTTGACCGGTCCCTGGAGCCTCTCTCCCCCTCCGCTGCAGTGGTCGAAGGTCCTAGAGTCATTACATTCTATACACAGAGTATAGGATGTGAGGACACCGAGGGACATGCCATTACTGCAGCGAAGGAGGTACCAGTCTAAGAGCAAGCCGGCTTAGAGGATCACGTGGGTTCCCCTTTATGAGTATAACTGATATTTTATTTATTATTTCTATTTATTTTTTCTTGTTTTATATTTATTTATGAGTACCCCTTACTCATTCACAAGGGGGGGCGCATCTGGGTACCCTGATGTGAATAAGCCCGCTTGCACCCCCACAAGCAACACCCCAGGGCTTGTGGGGAAGAGGCCCTTGTCCCTAGTGCCGAGAGCATGTGGCCTGGTATGGCGGGGGGCTCTCTCTCCCCCTCCCCTCCAGTGTATGTGTATGGCGCATAAGTAGAAGTCTTTGTAAACAGCCTAATTCGCAGTTGAAATACATATTTGTTTATTGTTTTATTGACCATAAAAAGGGGATGGGAGAGAGGGGGTACTCGCTTTCCTGCCCCCCTTTCCTGCCCTGCCAGGCCTGTGCTCAGATCAAGGATCTGGTATGGAATTTTAGGGTGGACCCCACATTTTCTTTTCCCCCTTTTTTGGGGTGGGGTTCCTCCTAGAATTCCTACCACACCTAAAGGGACTGGTATAACTTTTGGGGGGAACCCCACGCTTTTTTTTTCTTAAATGGGGTCCCTCCTAACATTCCTAGCAGACCTAAAGGGTCTAGTATTGTTTGGGAGGGGGAACTGCACGCTTTTTTTTTGTTCTTTTTAAGTGTCATTTTTTTCTTTAGAAATGTCAGTTTTGTTGCAGCAGGTTCTATACATTGTACAGATGCGGCACTTCACAGGCAGGTAAGGTGCCTCCCAGGCACGATATTTAAATTAATTTTTAATTTTTATTGTTTCACTTTAAATTACTGCTCCTTTAAAAACTTTATTTTTTCATTGATATATGTTCCCCAGGGCAGTACCCGGACCCCCATACACTTTTTATGGCCAATAACTTTCATACAGTATAAGCCCTCTTAAAGGGGACAATTGATTTTCAAAGTTCTAGCCCCATAGGCTTGCATTGAGTTTGAGTTTGAAATCAAACTTTTTCCATGTTCTAAGGTTAGAATTCAAACCGAACCGAACAGGGAGTTGTTTGACCCATCACAACTGTTTATACAGACTGGGATCTAAGGAGGTATATCACTGCATAAATTGGCATTTGATAAAGAACGCTGCACAGAAGTTCTAATGTTTCAAAAGTTTTTGAAAATGATAGTTGTCTGTTCTTGCTTTTTCTCTGGCTTCAATGTTAATCTAAGTCACTTACCTATAATAAGTATGGAGATGTGGAGTATTAAAGTGACATTAAAGTCAAAATGTGTTTTCCCTCCCCCCAATGTTAATGTCAGCACTTACCTTAAATGATGTCTCTTAATCCGATCTTCCTCTTCTTTCCATATGTTTTCATCTGTCCCTCCAGCGGTGCGGCGGGTCTCCGATCCAGCGCTGACTCCTCTCTGCTTACAGGCACTTCCGATCCCACGGTGTCTGCATGCAGGTGCACACGTCCATAGACTTACCTTGCGTCTCTGCTTATCTCCCGGCCCAAAATCCGAACTGCGCATGCGCCCGCCCCAGGATGCTTTGCGGCCGCCCATGCAGTTTTGGATTCTCGGGCAGGAGCACGCGGTGAAAACGGGGTAAGTTTTTTTTTTTCAACTTTTTGCATATAGGGTTTAGAAACCCTTTAAGTTTACATGTTGAATACTAAGAGGGTTATTCACTAAAGAGCCGAAGGATCCAGCCGTAGCTTCGGCTCATCTTTCCGGTCACTTCAGTGGAAGGGCTCCTGTATGGGCTATTCACAAAAGCCTGTACAGCAGCCGAGCCGAAGGCATATGCGTTCAGTGATAGCCGAAGCGGGGAGACAATTTTCCCCACAACTGACAACAACTGGGCAGAGCCAGCCGTGAGGAACCCCACCCCCTAAAATGGGGAGAGGAAGTAGGGTCCCCCCTAAAATTCCCAACCAGACCATTGATCTGAGCACAGGCCTGGCAGGGCAGGAAAGGAGGGGGATACAAGTGAGGAGTGACCCCGCCATACCAGGCCATATGCCCTCGGCACTGGGAGGGTGCTTTTTCAGGGGTCCCCCCTGGAAAAGCACCTTGTCCCCGTGCCGATGGGGACAAGGTCCTTTTTCCTCCAAACCATGGGGCGCTGGTTGTGGGGGTCTGCGGGCAGGGGGACTTATTTGCATCGGGGTACTCCTTTAATTGACCACTTGAAGACCAGGGTGTTTACAATATTTTTGTGGGTTTTTTGTGTCTTAAATTTTTTTTGCGACTTTCATCTTTGTTAACTTTTGTTTTTACACTTAACTTTATTGTTCTCACATAGGGGAATAAGAATCCCCCTATGTGATATCAAATTGCAGTGACAGGTCCTCTTTATGGAGACATAAGTCCCTAATGTCACCTAGGGACCCCCAAATAAGCTGATGAAGCAGAGATCTGCTTCACCAGCTTCTGTCCGGCTTTTGTAGCCGGGGAGTGACAGCTGAATGTGGAAGTGATGTAATAAACATCACTTCATGCATTCACAGAACGGGGAGGAGATCGTGTACTGATCTACCTCTGTTCTCCCTGCACAGAGCCACAATGCCAGTCCCGAGCCCGCACGGAGCACAGGGAGCCCCGGATCGCGGCAACAGCAGCGGAGGAAAGGAGGGCGCATGACGATACCTCATACAAGTGATTGGGTCTCTACAGATGCTGGACCGCTTCTATGTAAACAGCCATCACTGGCTGTTTCAAATTTTGACAGTTTCCCGCTCGTGCGCACTCCTGCAGGCGGGGGCAGCTGAGCCAAAGCATATGCACTCGGCTCAGCTGTGCAGTTCAGCTGCCTTCGGCTGCTGTATGGGCTATTTTGAATAGTCCATACAGCAGCCCTTTGGTTCGGCTGAACCAAAGGGCTCCGGCGGCTGAAGTGAGCCGAAGGATTAGCCAATGCTTCATCTTCATCCTTTGGCTCCTTTGTGAATAACCCTCTATATTTACATGTTTTATATATCGATTGTATGTTTCCATGTTCTTCTTTTAGCAGTTTCCCCCCACCCTGTTTTGTTAATGAAGCATCAACATTTCACTCAGTGTGGCTTATTTCAGATTATGAGGGTTTAGCTGCATGTTGAGCTATACACAGGTCACAGGGCAATGTGTAGCGGAGATGGAACAGCCAGCATAAGTCCCACTTTTCACTTACCTTAAGCTGTGATCACATGAACATGCAGTGCCGGGTCCTTCTTCTCCCTATTCCTTCCTGCTTCCTTCTAGGGGTCCTTCTCCTCCCTATTCCTTCCTGCTAGGGGTCCTTCTCCTCCCTATTCCTTCCTGCTTCCTGCTAGAGGTCCTTCTTTCCTGTGTCCACATCACTGCCTTCATGACGTAGACATTGGTCATGGTTGTCTTATCAAAATCCAGAAGACTACTGACATCGGCCCATGAGAGAGTCAAGGGGATTGGCTGGCGAGGGTGGCACTGAATTAGCAGTTCTCGCCTATGGAAATGGTGCCGGTAAGGGACTTGGACAGGGGGACCCAGGTGATTATTATTTTCCTCACCAAGTAAGAAAAACTAAACACTTGGCAGAATGGGTCGGAGGAGGATGGGAGAGAGAGAGAGATGGTAGCCAGTGGGGCTTTAAGAGACTGAGAAGAGGCCATCCCACATGGCCTTTAGAATGTGACTAAGGTCAGCGAGTCTAGGTTTCTGTATGTGCTTTCCCAGTCTCTGCCACATGACTGGAAACAATCACACAATTTAATCTTTAACAATGCATTCATTTTCTTGAATGGTTCATTTCACAAGAGCAAAGTGGTCACATTACACATTTCCAGACATATAATGTGTCTGTTGGGAGAATATAAATTAATGGATTATATAAATGGAAACGTGACTGCTTATTTGAAAAATATAGATTTTTCCCAGATTGAACACTTTTCTATCACTTATCACTAAAATGTATTGCTTTAATCCCATGAAGGCATTGAAAGTGTGCATACTGACACATAGAAAAGACCCACATTTAATTCAGTTATACTGTATATTTTTACAGCAGATCTAAACCTTAACTGGATGACATTTAGTCTGTAAAAGCATTGTGTATTATAAAACATTCTGGGGTTTTTCATAACATGCTATTTTCTCCTTTTGTGCACCTCACTGCTTTGAATATCTTCCAGTGTCTTTCAATCACTTTTTGCCTCCATGTACTCAATCCAGCCCTGAATGCACATCATTGTTATAGCCTGGTTTTCTTTCAGTGACCACAATGGACAATCCCTACACAATGTGTGTCAACATGGCCACTTGTAGTCCCATGTGAAAAGAACTCAACTGGAAGACAGTTATTACTGCATAACAGGAA